TAGGCTGAGAAAAAACGGTCGTTAAATGCATAAAAAGGTGTTTGAGTTTTTCTATGAACAATGTTTCAATAAACTATAGCATAATGCTCTTAACAAGTATATTTGTAATCAAATTGTTCAGAATATATTACGCTAATATATAACACATAGTTCTAATACTCTTCATCTCCATACCTATTAATTTTAAATGAATATATATATTTTTTAATAGTTGAATTCATTAAAGTTAGACCACCATGGAAAACCTGGAGGCGCTGGACGGCCGTTTCATCCTAGTATAAGACTAACGGTGCGGTATCGTAGATGAGCACTGTTGAGGAGTTTCACAATAGCTTCAATTGACTCATAAATTCAACTATTAAAAATTACTATAATATTCACAAGACCCCTTTTCGATTATGTATATATTTCTTAATCATAGATACTCATTTTTAACTCAAATATTCAAAGTCGATTACGTAATACTTCTATGATATCTATCAATAGGTTGTCAGTAGTTGAAGTGAATCAATCAATTGTATTGAATTCATATTTTATTGTGTTTTAAATATTACTCTGGCTTCATTCAATTCCATAAATAGGAACCAATAGTAGTATGAATAACAGCTTTTAAATACATATGTATTTATACATAGTCAATCAAGTTGATTCAAATAGTGGTTCTGTTTTCCGAATTTTACTCAATTAATATTTTATCATTTCTTCATTGAGAATAGATTATTAGTTTAGTTATAGTTTAATTTAGTCATTTCAGCTTTTATTTATAATAATCAACGTAATTATTCGAAAATTAAGTAGTTACTATGTTGCATAATATATATGAAAAAGAAGAAACTAGGTAAATATTTTAATGAGAGGTTAGAATTATAGTAGATATGTAAGAGTCAGTTGTATCAGGCGTACAATTTGGCAAGTCCGTCATCGCATAGCAGAAAGCTGATCAAGAGTTCTATTCTCCTTCACTTGGTGGACATAGGTCATCAAGTTCAACTGAATAAAGCTTTTAAAGTTATCCAGCATATTCTATAACATTTAACACAAGGTTCACGAGTTCATCTTTTGCATATTGCTGAAGCCATTGGAATCCATGTTCACAAACCAAACTTTTGCATCCAAAAGAAGTTTGTATAACCACTCTCGCTACCTTGGCTATCGGTATAGAAGTGAGTTTGTAGCTGAACTTCGATAAAATTCTTTCCTTCAAAAATATTGAAAACGTTCTCTAATTTCTCCCGCTTTTGTATTTTAAATATTCTCAACATTTGTCTCTTGATTCTTACATAACTACCATAATTCTAACCTCTCACTAAAATATTTAGCCAGTTTCTTCTCTTTTATATATATTATGCAACATAGCAACTACTTAATTTTCAAATAATTACTTTAATTATTATAATTCTCTTCCTCCCAAATGTTCGATGTCATCTTGTCATCAATGTATCATTATATAATTATTACGTAAAATAGCTACTCTATGAGTATTATTTTGTTTTCACAGATTGAAATCATGAGTCAGTTGAAACTAGACCACCATTGAAAACCTGGAAGCACTGGACGTCCGTTTCGTCCTAGTATGGGACTCCTCAGCAGTGCGCATCCACGATCCCGCACCACGCGGGTGGCGCAACTTCGTGGATTGGTTGAAGTTAGACATTAACACCGTTGGACGCCGGCTCACTGGTTTAATGGTTAGGTGCTCGCGCGCGAAGCCAGTAGGTCCTGGGTTCGAGCCCCGCGTGGTGGGGGATCGTGGATGCGCGCTGCTGAGGAGTCCCATACTGGGACGAAACGGCCGTCCAGTGCTTCCAGGTTTTCAATGGTGGTCTAGCTTCAACTGACTCATGATTTCAATCTGTGAAAATTTCTAAAAATCTCCACAAACCCCTTCTGATATTATTTTATTGTTGTAAATCATATATATATATATATATATATTAGTGTAGAGCCACGATGAGGAACTAATTGAAAAGAAATATTTTCGTTCGACTCATTCCTTCTTCTTTTGTTTTTACCAAATGTCAAAATTGGAATTTTCATTCTTCCCATTTCATTCAATAGAATGAAAATTTTGCTAAAAAGTATTTAATTTGAAAATATTACTCTTCTCATTCATTGAAATAACAAAAGTATTAGTTCAACCATGAGATTGATCATATGTAGACACTCAACTTAAACAACGTGGTTATGAAATGCTTGTTAATTAAATTCGATATTGTCTAATATTATTAGTAAGGGATTGAATGATTCGGATATTGATATTGAGGACTGAATTTAGATCAGTCTTTGTTGGTATATGTGCATTCTATGAAGATTGCTTCAATATAGCTATTCTGTTGCAAGTTTTTTTTTATTGAATAGATAGATTGTAACTAGTAGTGAAATCCATTGAGGGATGTTTTATCCTATCCTGGACTAATCAGCTGGTTATATTTGTTTCCTAGTGTTGATGTTCACGTTAAAAGTTAATGGATAATGTGTCGGTGTTTGAAGCGAAATGTACTTTGTTCAAGTATACATGTGAATTTCAACACTGGAATACATGCACATTCAGCTGACAACTCCTAAAAAGGATAAAATGCAAGTCCTGTATCCCAGTAAAAAAAAACATTTAGTCTCATGTCTTGATCAATCATTATTTTCTTTATTCAAAAATAAGATATATTTGATTTATTTTCGGTACAAAAGGTTGTCTACAACAAAAAGAAGAAAGCGAAATTATACAAACAACTAATTAACTCGACTTTTGTTCTTTTCATCACAAGTGAAAACGAAAAAAACTGGTCTATTTTTAACATAATTTCAACATTATCAATGACATTCAATGTCTACTTTTATTGCAGAATTTTTCTTCAAATGTGTAAGGAGATAATTCCATATTTCAAGTTGTTTATTTTCCTCACATCTCTGTTGTCATGACTTCTGCTAGAATATATATATATATATATATATATATATATATATATATATATATAGAACTTAGTAGAAAATATGTATTTTTGTCTTCCTTTGTAAAAAGGCGGCAATTTCCATGCTAAGATAGACATAGAACTGTTATTTAACCACTGAAAATGAATTGTATAATAATAATAATAATTTATATTCTGAAAATAATAATTACAGAATTCACTCCAGTTTACAGGCATGATCAATTTGATATAAATAGTAACATTAGACGTGCAGAACAAACATGTGATAGAAGAAAGTTTTAAGTATACTAGTTCAGTAATTGCTTAGGTAGTACATGTATTACAGCGATCCAATACATCAGCCGGGATTTTTTAAATATTTCTTAAATGGACAGCCTGCTGATTTATTAACGGAGTAATTAAGGTCATTTCGTGTGCCAGATCAGATTAATGATAATTATCTACAACTAGAGAAATTAAAACGAAAACAGAGAGCACGGAAAAACAAAGCAGTAATTATCAAAATATATGAATCAGGTCTACCTAAATGCGTGTGCCATGTGATATACTGTTGATGTTATTCAAATCAGTTAAACTTGCTAGGGACCGTGTTAACATAAAGTGACAGCAAGTAGGTGATTTTACTTAGGGAATGCACTAATAAAAATGGGTAAACATTTAAAGATCCTATAATACTACTTGTGGAATGAGATACACTTACAGGTGCTAGACCATTCAATGCATTTTCAGAGGAGCAGTATGCATCGATGCAGCGAACAAGTAATGGGAGTGGTTTTATCGTGCGGATAGATTGTGGTAGGTTATTCCAGAGTCTAGAAAATTACAGATGAAGTAATTCATATAAAGAGATGATTTAGAATGAGTTTGTTTCATTAGTTCCAGGGAATTATGGATGTCATAATGAAAAACAAGACTTACCATAATTCGTATGTTTACATATATATAAGGAGATTGTGGTCGTTATACAGATAGTAATAATAAAAATAATGGTAATAATGATCGTAATGATTAGAGTATTCTTTTATTATAATTTCCTCTCTCTAAATACATTTTGTTCCATTGTTTTAATTACAAGATAAATACGTTGATTCCATAATTATTGATTGAATTCAAAATCAGTAATGTAACAAACATAGATGTGAAATGACATTACACTGCAATGATGAAGTTGTGTGTGAGAATAGTTGGGGGGTTATTACCTTATATTATATTATTATTATATTATTACTTTAATATTTTTTTCTTTGAAAGCGAGATCCTTTTTCCAGTTTACAATTTTAGAATTAGATTCCTAATTCAAATATGCATTATTTTATTTATATTGTTTTATTAAGATTGATGATATCAGTTCAGAGAGTTTTCAGTGCTATCAAATTAGAATGAAACATCTGTTCAATGTTCAACAGATTTTATTATTAATTATTTCTCAACCATCATCTATTACCTACCATGGATAACTATCTGATACCTGACAGTGATTGAACTCAGCTGGTCACAGTTTTTCATTTGAGCTTTTAGTGGCCCTTGGATCTGACTCCAGATCAGAAGGCTGCGTGTTCGAATCACGTCGGGCTCACCATTTTGGTGGCCCGTTGATCTGTCTCCTATTTAGATCGTACGAATGTTTGCTATCGCCTAGTCTCGTATATCATCGTCGACTTAAATCGCGTTAGTCAGATCAACGGGCCACCAAAAGCTCTGGGATTTCAATTTGAAGATAGTGAGTATATGATTAATGCCTGAATAGAAAGTTCCATGGAGATTAGAGGAGTGTAAATCACGAACTAATCTCAACTAAACCACCAATGAGAGCTTGGAAACACTGGATGGTCTATATCTATGAATCATTTTCTATGATATAATAAAAGTTTTTCATCTGAATTCTTTTCTTAATTTTAACAACGTTCATACATATCAACTAATAAGTTTAATATCAGAATAAACAACTGTCATTGAAATACAATTTTGTTGTCATTAAACTATCAGTATGAAATTACTATTTCAGTGGTTAGCTTAATTATTATTATTATTACCGTTACTATTATTGTTTTACCTACAATTGTTCTTTTCCAGTTGTTTCAATGATAACTACAACAATGTCAACGGTAACTTCATCTCCAAGATTGTGTTATTCGTCTTCTTCTCCAAATATTTCATTTGATCAGTCTATAATTAATATTCAAGTTGATAAATTAAAGGAATCTGATCAATGTACAATTAATGGTGAACATAATACAGAAACATTTAATAAAATATTAAATGATATTCCAAAATCATCATCATCTTTATCGCCTTCCTGCTCATCATTTACTTCGTTGTCATCATCATCATCATCATCATCATCGTCATCATCATCATCTGCATTAACTATCGATTCATCAATAAATCCTTCTACATGTTCATCTGATACATTATGGTCCAATTCAAAATCAACAGCAATACATAATATTGCAAATGTTGATAAATTAAAACAATTAAGAATTGATATTCAAGATTCAAGATATGAAGATGATGAAAATCAGAAAGAGGTGAATTTTTCATTTGTGTGTTTGCATGTATATGTATGTTCTTAGAAAATTGTTCCTCATTAGCTTGATTTCAAATGTAGTATTGTTTTCACCCCTTTAATATTCATCAAGAATTGTTTTATTTTATTCCCGAATCAGGGTTATGTTAACACTTTTCTTTTTTAACATGGGAAGGTATTATTATAACTTATTATTATTAAAATAATAGTAATACTAATACTACTAATAATAATAAAATAAAAAAATATACCTACTACCTCAACCCGTAAATTACAAACTTTCGGATGATACATGATCTAATATAAGTCACTTCATGAAAGAATAAATAAGCAACCAAATTAAATTAATAAAAATTTCAGAATGACAGAGAAGTAAAACAAAATTGTTATTAGAATTAAAACAAGCCTGATTATGTTGATGTTATTTGGGTCAGTGGTGAGATGTACATTTGTGTATTCGTATACATTTGAGTGGGCATCAGAAATGTGTTTATTGTACAGTGAAAGTTTAGAGCTGATTCGCACGTGTTAATGGTATACGATTTGAGCATGTTAATAAATGGTGGACATTCTTAAGGTCACTTCAGCGTCGCTCAAAGGTCGTCCATAATTTATGGTCATACCATAGTAACAGAAAAGATTAGTTATCGAAGGTAAGATTTACGAAAATCTAAATTAGTGAAATAAAGAGGTATAAGTAACTCAGTAGCTTAGAATCTCGGCTATGACAAATGATGAACTCATCTCCGCTACTGCAAACGATTTTGTGCCATGTCATTCAAAGTCTCTAACCACTGATTATGATGACCACGCTGATCCGAACCAATCAGTTTAGACTTGTTAGTATGACTCAGTCCGATTTTCAGTGACTTCATGGACTGATGATATGTTTTGATTTGGCAGCTCCTAGTTTTTTCCAACCTACTCCTACATCAAAGAGCATTGCCCGTCATAGTAGGCGGTGATTGGGCATATATAACACATCTCTCAACCTTTTAAGTCGACGGAGATTTACTACTTCATCAATCGATTCGCCATCTTTACCTAGTACTTCATTCTTAACCCAGGGATTGGTAACTCAGTTGTTTCCAAATAAACGAGTAATGATTCTGAGATATCTATTTGAGGTACCATTGAGGAGCACTAGGCAAGTGTTTCGTCCTCTCATGATAGAATGAGATATGTAGGATATATATAGCCAAATGAAATTTACTTACGTGGATTACTCTTTGGACATTATATATATAATCAGAAACAGTAAATTGAATTCAACTTGGCGACAATATATTGATTGACATTCCAGGTAGTTATCTATGATTTATGCTTCTGAAAAGAGCAAGAACAAAGATTCTGGCAGAATAGCATGAATTCATTTTATTTCGTAGGTTCTCGTCAGCTGCTTACAACCTGTGATATTTAAAAATCATAATTACATAATGGGTTTAAATTGCTAACTGAATATTGTAAATATATACCTAATGTGAAAGAATATTCTACAACATTAATTGTGACAACAGTTCAAAAGTGGGTTAGAAACAATCGATTACATAATGAATAACATTGAAGGAATGTAGTGAGTAGAGTTCAGTTGAAAGATTATTAATTTGAAAGATGGTTGAAAAAAATAAAATAGAGGCAATGATGTAATAAATGCAAAAGAGAAAAAAAATAAAAATAGAATGAAATTTTATGGTGTAGTGAAGGAATATTTGTCACCAGGGCAAGGAAAGATTAACCACCGTCTCCTTTTGAATACATAGGTCAGGTTTTTGACGCCTGATGGCAATGGCTTCAGCAAACTTCAGAAGACTGGAGTTTGGCTGCTTACTAATCACCCTAAAGGATTGTAAGGTATCTACCTGATGTCCTGTATCAAGGAGATCCTATTCTGCTAGAATCTTTGTTCTTGCTCTTTTCAAAATGATAAAGGGAACTATGTGTATGAAATTTATGTTTCTGTGGGCAATATATCTATCAGTCTTTTCAATTCATAACAGATAGATTAGGAGTTGAACTACTTACTGTACTATTGGGGTTAAATACCTGAATTATCGATTCATACATTATTATCTTGAAAACGATCAAACTCAATGACCTAGATATATAAACCTTAAAATATCTAAGTATTTAGCATCTGATAAACGTTATAGTTAATACAAGTTAATGAACACCAAAGTTTCTCCAAACGTCTAATCAATCACGGTATCTTTACTGATTTAAGTATGCATAGAACTATCCAGACTTTATCATTTAGGACTAAACTAAGTTGTTTTTATTAGTATTCTTAGTTTTTTCCTTAGCTGATCTTTTCAGTCATGTATGATGTGAGTTTTGAATGTTTATTCAAACAAATAAAAAACAATTTCCATTTACTTATAGGTAAATTCATTTGTAGTCCCCAGTGTCCTATCACCTTATTCTCCAATTCAACCAACACCTCCATGTTCTCCAAATTTCTCATCCTCTACATCTTTATCACCTTCATCAACTATTACACTTCCTCAGAATGGATCTAAAAGTTTTAAAAGTCAACAACAACATCAACAATCTACTTCAATGATGAATTCATGTTATAATAGAGATGAAACTTTAGGAGGATCGATCAATAATCGACCACCTACACCAGATATTCGGCGTAGTGAATTGGATTTAGCAGATTTATCCGATGGAACTAGAGTGTTAGTTATACAAGATACCTATCTACGTGCTGGTACTTTATATTTAGGAAAAGGTATCTTTAATACTACTATATAACAGTTGTGTTCAAATTTTTTATTAATATGCATAGAAAAATGTTATTCTAAATCATATATCCTATTCGTTTGACTGATTAATACAATATCTTCTAACTACCGAAATTGATGTCGCCTCCATCTGTGTTACACTTTGAATCAACTAACTCGAAAAAAAGTTGAATGGTGAAATTATTGCTTGCATGAAGTTCCCTCGCTAAAAAACGCTAATCAGTAAAAGCAGCAAGCGGCAGATCTAATGAAGCGTATAACTGAGATCATGAACCGATCAATGTTAGACCGCCATTGGAAATCTTGAAGCATTGGAAGGTCGTTTCGTTCTGGCATGAAACTTCTCAGAAATGCCTATCACAATCCCGAAAACACAGGATTTGAACAAAAGACCTCTGGCCTTGCGCTTGAATTCTCAACCTGTAAACCACTGAGCCTGCATCCAACGGCGTTAGTGTCTAACTCGTGCGGGATCATGGATGTGCACTGCTGAGGATTCTCATGCCAGAATGAAACGACCACCCAATACTTCTAGATTTTCATGAGTGGTCTAACAATGATCGGTTCATTATCTCACTTAAAACTCAGTAATTTCCACAGCCTTACACTGAAACGTGTGATATTAATGAAGTGTCCTTTTTTAATGTATAGTGCTCACAAAAGTAGGTTGTTAACGTGTTTGAGTAGTACTTACTGGTGACTACTGATAAGTTACATTAAACTTTTACACTAAACACTACATTATATCTCAAATAAAAGAGAATTGTAGGTAAAGATATATACATGATAATAATTTATTTCAGTAATATTATTGTCTGTTATTTTCATCTATTTTCAAGTACATTAACATAAAATCTATCAGTTGATAAGAAAATAAGAAATCCAATGAAATTTGAAACTATTTGCGGATATACACTTTATTCCCTAAATAGGTATCTGTAAACTACCTAAATATTAACTAAATGTCAATGGTTACAATTCCATGAATAACTGCACATTTATATAAAATATTTTAATGAATGTATTGATGATACTGTGGTGTGTGCTACTTATGTCGACATAAGTAGTATATAACGCTAGTCAGGAATAGAATGTCTGATAACAGAAAGTTGAGAAGATCGAGGAGGAAAGAATAGAAACAGGAAGCAATTAGTATGGAAATGCGGGCACAATAAAATCTGAGACAATTAATGAACATTTTGCAAATAAATTATTGGAGTATGGTTTTTCTATTTTATCAAGTAACTTTGTAATTTTGTGCTAAATATAATCGGTTGTCCTCACCTGTGTTCTCCTTCACTACAATATCACCACTAAATCGATAGAACTCAATTACAATGATGGGAATAAAACACTAATTGGTACCTGACGACTTGTTTTCGTATCGAAAAAGATCACTTATGTTAATTAATTACAAAGCCACATCTCCAGTTTCTAGGTTTGGTGTAATTTGGATTAAGGACTTCATTTTAATATATTATAGTGCTAATCTGGCATTTAGTCTGTGTTTACCTTGGATATTTCTATAATAGACAGCTTTGGATTATTTCAATTTGTATCATCCACATAATAAGTTACTAAGTCGGAAGAAAATACAATTTGTGGATTTGAAGTGATTTATCTCCTGCTTACAGAAATATGACTCATATCTAAATATTGGTTAGTTGTTCCATTGTGTATTCTGAAAATTTTCGTATCCATAAAAGATGCCAGTAAATGACTTTACAATAGGGTCGTACCACTAAATCTTCATGTTGATCTTGTCTAGATTGGAATACTTTAACTAAAAATATTTCAGCTCTCGAATCACTGTCTTTCATAATCAATTATAAACTCTCAAAAGTTATGTACATTACTATCCTTAACCAATTGTTTAAGCTAAAACACTTAATCTTACTGATGGTATGACAACTTGGGCTAATTCATATTGGTCCCCGGCTCTATGTTAATCATGACTGACTAATTGAAGCATCTCATTAGAATATCAGATAAAATCATTTTATGAGCCAGATCAAGAGTTTCAGTAAAAATTTACTTTACCATGACATAAACTTAAAAGTTCTCTTTTCTTTCATGATTGTCTCAAGAAAAATTAATAACAAATACATTATTTTAAATATGTTACTTTTAAATTTGTAGATAGTCCTTCATTAATCAATCGAATTAGTCTTAATAACGATCATCTACGTGATCAAGTATTTCGTATACATTTAGATACTGAGAAATGTACTAGTTCAACTAATTCACGTATTAATAATTATAATCGTTTTACATCACCATCATCTAATCATGTGAACAATCAAGTTGTATCATATCCAACTTATCGACAATTATCTTCTTCATCATCATCTTCTTCATCATCAGCATCGTCGTCTTCAAGTAATAATAATTGTAGACTGTTTAGTAAAAATAGAAGACGTCAAATGGATTTATTATTGTATGGATGGCAAGTAGTACAACAGGCAGTTTTAGAAGTATTTCCTGCTTCAATACGACATGTTCCACCCGGAACACGTGTTTGTGCTGCATGGAGTGAACAGCTAGGTGTTAATCTTTATCCAGGAACCGTTGTAAAAAGTAAGTTTATTCATTATTAGTAATATTTGTTGTTTAATCTTTTCAAATGTAACAAGAATGGAATACATTTGTATTTTTAAGTAAGGATTTTATGCAAACTGAGGTTTACTTTCAATTTGATTTAGTTTCTAATGTTTGACATTAAATGATCATATGTTTCTTTATACAAGTTATTGAAAAAGGACATAAATTATTGACGAACCATCATCAAGAACAGAGATTGAAGACTATGTTATAATCACGAATTCATTGAGTTAGAAAATGTTGGACTATTGAACTTCTTCTTAATGGTCTAATGTGAACATGTCACTTGTTATATCTTGAGAGTTTTGAATTTAATTTTTTATGGAGTCTTGTGTTTCTACTGTTTAAAAGTAGTTAATTGATGTAAAGGAGCTGTTCCAGTGCTTTTCAGGTTTTTAGTGATTTACATAAAACAACAGTCTTCGTTACCCATAATTACTGTCGACTTTATAACAACCAAATGGTACTTCCCTTATAATTTCGATTGTATGTATCAGGTATTAAAATAAAAAATGTCACAAATTTGAGTTCATACCATTTTCCTATTGCTACCGGTCTTGTTATACGTCAAGTAAACCAGTTGTTGATTCACTTTATGATTATCAGATCAAATCTCATTAAAAATTCCAAATTCAATTAATTGTGCTCGTTCATAATTTCAAAAGAGGAGGATCTTGTAAACGTTCCCTTTAATATATATATAAATTGAAGATGTCAATCTGTAAATAAATTGAGTTCTATTACTAACATTTAACTTTATAAATATCTATTGTTAATGTGTAAGTTAATGCTTGTTATGATAAAATGTTTTAGAAACCCTAAAATATTTACATTAATCATTTGTAATATGTATGTAGTTTCATATATTTTGGAGCTAATCTACAAAAAAAAGAGCCTTGAATCTGTTTCATATTGTTCTTTTAGCACACTCATCAGTAAAGTGTACTTTAATAGATTGTATAGGCTAACTTCCCGTCAGTAATTTGAATTTGAGTTACTCAGCTATTTAACACAAAGATTTAATCATTTAGTTATAAATGTCTCAGCATTTTTCGCACATTATTCAAATAAAATGCTTAGTATTATAAATATTCATAGATTTTTCGAGTATTTCTTCTAATCGGTAATATTCATTGTAGATTTTTAACTACTAACATCTATCAATTCAGTAGTCAGATTATTATATTTATTCAACTACTTAGTTATATCTTAATTAATCCTTCGTTAATTAATATTTATTGTTAATTAAGAACTATTGAGAATAAAGGGAGTACTGTAAAACTGTTTCGTTCTGATTAAAATCTCCTCAGAAGTTGTTAGGGATGCAGAGGAATATACCAATAATTATCGTGTTAAGTCTAATGGTGTACTTGGACGTTAAATGGACATTTCCATTGGTCGATATTCATTTCATCTGTCAAATATTGTACAAATGTTGTTTTCTATTTTATGGTACGATGTGGTCTGGTTGGTTGGCACATAAATAGAGTATGTCTGAAATATAATGATTCATATCTCAGAGGCTGTGACTTGCATTCTGGACTCAACTGGCTGGGATAGACAGAGGAGCAGGGCCAATCAGGTCTCTAGGTCGTCCTTGTGTGTTTTACGTGTCACTGAACCGATCGATAAATACGCTGCGCATCTAACCTGCAGTCCACACGTTACAACAGAAGTGCTCATTCAACATCCTCTATATTACTAGAAATCAATGAACTTCAAATCTCACAGTGATTAAGATATTTCTAATTTACTGAGCTATTCTGATGTTCAATTTCTGTCATTTGGTGATATACTTGTGGTAGAATTAATGAAGTAGAAAATTAGAAAGTGATATCATATTTCCAGTAAGATCTAAACACATATGGCTTAATTCTATGTATAATAGTAAGTGACCTCCTCTGAGGTATCCCAAACAAGAATGAAGCAATGATTCAATACTTTTTGGGTTTTAATGATTTTTCTTTAGGTCGATATTCACGATAAAACTGACATGGAAACTACAAAATTACTGAATTATATTTTGATTAGGTTTTATGACATATGATTCCTATTCTATTTATCATGTACATTCACTTTTCATGTAAATATTTTATTTAAAATTAACGAAAACATTTCTTCTAGTTGATCCAGATGAACAACAACATATCAATAATGATTGTGTTCCAGTTGATTTTGATGATGGGGATCATCGTCAAGTACCATTAACTGATCTACGTATTCTACCGGATTATTTTACAAATTTATGTGAATTAATTAATATCACTGGTGAAAATAATATAAATTGTTTAACTCCTTGTCTTATCTCATCGGATTATTTGTCATTACGTCATGATAGTAATAATAATAATATCACTAATAATAATGAAAAAGATAGTGATAAATTTGTGTCACGTATGCGTCGTCATAGTGATCTGGATCATAACACATCTAGATCATATCATTCATGGTCTCAATCAAGTAAGCTAAATGATACAATGTAACAATTTTTTTCTAAGTTTTTAATCTATTATTAAAACTTTTTAAGGAATTTATCAACGTTGTTACTTTAGTTATTCAACATCTACACCCATATTGTCGTGTTTTATTATTATTGTCTATCATGTGTTACATTTACAAACTGAACTATGTAGAATTACTTTGATCATTAAGACATTGTTCTAAACATACGGTTAAACTGATTTATAAGTAATCTACCCACATTGATACATGGAATAGAGATAGTGTTAAATCTCGATTTAAAACTACTCATATCGTTTGTATTATTCAGGTTAGCAAATTAAATATTTTTTCTAAAGTTCACTGCATCTGTAGACATTTTTCTATACACATAAAGGTGACGTGTTCGAGTCGTGATGTGAGCATTAACACTGGAAGTGTATCTAGCTGATAAATCGCAAATATGATTAAACGTGAATCCTGGCTTCTACAACTAGCCATTGTCTTTCTATTCTGAATAAATTATAACGTGATGGTTACATAGAAGTTATCCACAAAGCGTGTACTAGTGTCACCTAAGATTAACTGAAATTCAGTCATGAATATCGACGACTGGATAACAATCAACTGTCACTAAAATGTTTAGCCAATATAAAATATTAACATATTTGAGAGTTAAGAACTGAATAGTAAATTGTTCGCAAAGTGTAACAACATTTTACAGTGTCAACGGAGTTTTGATTAGTAATTGAAATGATAGTTATTGAAAAATGGAGATATTTTGCTAATGTGAAGGCAACCAATTTTATGAAGCAAATCGCAAAGCTAAAAATCTTGATAGCATAAGAGTAATTTGAACGGGAACTAATGGTGGCCGAACCAAAACTTGCATCAGTCTGTAAAGTTACTGATTTTTGATCTAAGCCTTGTTGGTAGATACCAACTACTTGGTTGAGGTCCACTCAATAACTCCTATCATTGGTTAGAGAAATTGGGTGAAACAGCTCTGGACTAACCAGATTAGGACAGATACATTTAATCTTTGTCTTACTCTAAATGTTGAGTTCCACTATTGTGTCACATGTACCCTTTCACTGTCTTTTGGAAGCATATCCCCAATGTTTGGTTTTTCTTATCATTGCTGCTACGTTAAATCGACTTTTCCGCTATTCACCTTGTTTATTTTCACTGATTATCGTAATGTGGTATGTTAACTCGGGTTGACTCACATATGCGCAAGACTCCATGTTGATTATGACTGACCAACTCTCTGCGTGATCCTAATTTCTCCTCCCTTGTGTGGAAAATTTGTATTTTGATAGCGAAAACAAATTATATAGGGTTAGATCTACTGACTAAAGGGGGTAATTTAGAGCAGTGATGGGATTGTAGACGATCATTGATGAATGCACAGGCTCAGTGTCTTATCTTCAGTAAAAAAATCATGAAATTACAATTTTTGTTTGATTATCAGCTGAAATAAGGAAACCATCAATGTCACATCGACTCATAGCAGCTGATGCTTAGTCATAGTGATTGGTGGTTACTTTAGCTCACAACTAACAACCTTATTGAATAAATTGTGTAAATTAGTTAAACTTCCGCAAGTGTGACTTATCTGTCCATATCATTGAAATATCAGCCCAAATTTGCTCATGAATACAATCCCTGATTTCATACAGTGACTTTTTTTAAAGTTCACGTATATTTTACGTACTAAAATACACTTTCTAAACTTAGTAGCAGGTGATCTAATTTTCATTCGAAATGTACTTTTACTACTTACAAGTAGCGTCATACGTTTTGCTAAATTTATTTCATTGTCGGTTTTTTTTATCTATAGCATCTCCACTTATTCATGATACTATGTCCTTGTGTTCACCACAAATGAACACAAACTTAATGTTAAACTCAAAGTTTTTCTTTCCTGAAAAGAATTCAAATAAACTAACACATTGTATCAAAAGTAATCGAAGTAGAAAAAATTCTCAATTATCTTCATCAAGTTCAAATAGAACAATGGAGTGCACTGTAAATTCACTGATATCACCTACACATACAATATCAACGGGTGCTACATCAGTCATGTCATTAAGATCACCGTCACCACCTCCATCATTACAAACGCCAATGACAATGGCTGGTTTTAATCATATGTCAAGTGATAAGTACATGAGTGAATGTTCTGACAATAATAATAATAATGATAATAATAATAATATTAATAATAAGTCAGAAAAGGTGATTTATCCATTGAATAATCATCTATCTGAAGAATTTAATGCGGATAATATTTCCATTTCAAGTACAATCACAACAACCGATAGTTCAAATGAGTGTTTATCCTGGCAAGTGTACGAAAAGGTAATAGAATTCTTTTGTTAAAAAAATTACACATCAGACGTAAGATTTTCAATTTATTTTGTGTATAGACTTAGACCTTTCTATAAATAGTAAGCAATCAATTAATTGTGAAAGGTAACACTGGAGCGCACTTATTTAGATGCTTGATTTTCGACTGTTAGACCAGAGATTCTGCTAGTTGACTAAATGTGGAAACGACTATTAAAACACTAGGGTTTCAAGTAATACGTCCCTGTATGGGTGTTAGGTGATGACCCACTGAAGACAAGTGGGGATGGTCGTCCTGAGTTCGAGTACTGTGCGCGGGGTGGTGGATGCTCACTGGTGAGGATTTTTCATACTACAACGGAACGGCCGTCCAGTCCTTCCAGGTTTTCGATGGTTGTCTAACATCGATCGGTTCATGATTCCAATAATACGTTCCTATTTCTACCTTCACTCCATCTACTCATGTTCGAAATCTGATGGACTAACACTAAGACAAATAACTAGATAGTATCACTGTCTGTCTTAGATGAATTATGGCTCCAAGTAAAGTGAATTAACCTGTACTTGGTCACTCAATTACAAGCATAAGTATGTATCAAATCATAATAATTGTATATTATGAAGTATTAAATCGTTGATCTGAGGATTGTAAGTGTTTGAACTTATTAGAATCCCAGAATGAAGCTTTCAACTTACTGCTTGGAGTCTTCTGACCTTTTCCTCTGGTATTTTGTCAATATTCTCTTGTATAAATTCGATTATCTATTTAAAACGTTTTTTCATTCTTCTTTATTTTTCATTTTAACTAATGACAATTAAAATTTCTTTCGTTTTGAAAAATTTGTAATTTTGCATACTAGATTGAATGACGCTAACTCATAAGTATGATTAGTTTTGTCATCACAAAAAATGGACAACTCTTGGATAAAAATAGAATTTTACTATTATGTGGAGACCTATTTGAGGTAACTAAGGTGATACGCAGATTGAGACACCCTCTATCTAAGAGAAGCTAGTGTTGAAGGCATGAGATCAATCGACAGAAAGTTGTAGCTTTATGTTTAGTAGTATTTACCTTCAACCTTGATGACACTTATGATGTCTTAAGTATTACTGGTTGACGACTGAATTCCTCCTATTTAGGAACATATTGTGGTGAATTGACATACTTATATCTCAGGCTTAGCTTGAGTCATTTATGTGATGATTAGCTTAGCTGATAGCCATGTTTTACTGCAACTCTAAATAATACAGTTTCTTACCTCCAACGAAGCAAGAGTTCCCTTTAAAGCTGGAGATCCACCTTGTTGGTGAGTTTCCCGATGGATTTATGAATCATCATTGAGTGGGGTATGAGGTATTTCATTTTTACAAGTGTTTCTGACGGTTTATTGATATGGAGAGCCAATCAGAGGTAGCGAAAGGTCAATCAACGGCAGTCCGAAGTGACCTAAAATTCAAGTGCATTTCATTGGGATCAGTTTCCTAAGGATAGAGTGGCATATATGTGAACGAGTATTTATTCATTTCATTCTTTAGTCCAATACACTTTTCCGCTCAAGTAGTCAGTTGGTGAGTTAGTGCGTAGCATACCGTGTGTCAGTATCAGATTTCATACGCCGCATGTCACAAAAGTTAAATATGAATTTGTAAATGACTATAGAATTACATCTTCCTGTAACTGACTTCTACTAATCGATTGACGTTAAGCAATAGATTATAGTGTACATGTTTCACAACGAATCAAATATTCAACGGTACTATAGTTTACCTACTTCCTGTATCGTGTTACATCAGTCTGTCAAAGTAATGTATATGACCTAGGACATGTCTTTCGAAAAATCGTAAAGGTGATCAGAATGAGGGGCGAGGTTATCCGTAATGTTTACATGTTTACTAAGTGTCATACTCAGTTTATTTGGTAAGTGAGTGTTCCACATTATAGTGCATTTTTCATCAAAGATTTCATTTCAAAGTCCAGCGATATTTGTATTTTTATCCGGCATGTCGGACTGTACTACATAGTTACGAATAACTGTAACCCATTTTTCAAAATGAAAAAAGCTGTATTACGTTCAGAGACACTGGAATCCCAACCACATATCCTGATTAAGTCAACCATCGATATATCGATTCTCCAGATTAAAACACACATATATATGCGCTTTCTGAACATTTTATTTAATAGATAAAAATAACTAATTGTGGATGTGTAGATCATGCTTTACTCGATCTTGGCTTTCATGTTTTAAAACAGTTTAAGCGTCGGAAACAAGGCTGTATATACTGTCGTTCAATAATACGTGATGTAGATGGTTTAATCGTTAAAGTTGGTGATTGTGTACAATTTGGCTCTGGGCGCAATGAAATATATCTTGGAGAGGTTAAAGAAATACGTTGGGAGCAAAAAAGGAATTCACTTATTGTTGTCGCTGCATGGTAATTACTATTATTTTCTTGTTGTGAAATTCCACATATAAATAAAAGTTATACCACAGCTTTTGATCGTGAAGAAAAACTCCTGGTCTCATGACCAATAAGAGCCCACGTATTTGCGTTTTTTGTTCAAAAATAGTTGGCAGAGAACTTCCACTCTGATTATGGTAATTTTCATCGTAGACTAACGACTTCAAATAGAGAAAGATACCGACGAACATATAAGGGTTATAATCCGGGACCTCGAAATATCGTGCCAAATTCATTACCTCTGAATTGTTAATTCAGTTAGTTACATCATAATCAACGAAGAGCATGGTGCAAACGTAAGGTGACCCAAGTTGTCATGCAACATCAGAACAACAAAGCGGAATCAACAAGATATGGTTCGAGAATATGGCTCGAACAGACAATGTGAGATATATAAAGTAATAATCGAACTCCAGGTTTAGAGTAAGACGAGGACCGAATGTTTTTAAGCTATGTATTCCAAAGTCTTAAACCACCAATTGAGGTTGTCACATCGACTGTTGAGCCAATACTTCTAAACTATAACGAAACAGTTATGTCGTATTCCCTAGTTTTAAATTGTTTCTCAACTGATTTCAGTCCATGAGAAAACTACCTCTAGTTTGAACTGACTGATTTCCGGAGGTAATTCTCGTAGTTCTAGTGAAAAGCCGTGACCAGTGGAGTTCAACCATGTCGGAAAGGAGTCAGTTTCAAACCAAGAACATTGGAAGACGGTTTAGCAACGCCACGAATAGTTCGAAGTCGAACATGTAAATCCCCGGTCAGTGATCTATAGATTAAGCACTACCCGCTTGACCTGAAGGCTCTGTGTTCGATCTCCGTTGGGGTCATGAATGAGCACTAGTGAAGAGACTCATACCAGTACCTCATGGTCCCAATAGTTTAACCAAAATTAATCCGTGGTGTTAACCATAGAATTCAACAATTTCCCTAAACCCCCCTACTTAGTAATGAGCTGACCTCTGACAGTCACCTGACTAGAACGATAACTACTTGTCATGAAGTGAATTACTTTGAAATACAGATGATAGCTTCGTCTAAAATTACTCACCAATATTAATGTCGTGCTTAATAAATGTTTGCAGACTGTATTTTGTTTGGTATATTCCAAACACTTAGCGGATGAATTTTGTCTATAACCCCATTTTGACTGTATGAAAAAGTACAGTTCATTTTTCAAAACATGATTCTTTTAAGATTACTAATTACACAAATTACTTGTTAGATTGGTAAAAAAAATACGGTAATTCGGCAACTTTGGTTCAGCTATTGAAAGATGATATGATCACAGTTGTGAAAACAATCGGTGCGGATTTTCGGATAGTTCTTTTTTATAAGTATCTGTCAATCAACAAGAGACATTCGCAATCACATCTACCTGTAATTCAAAATGAGACTGTCTATCAATTATCCATGATAATATTGCCGTGTAGGTAACAATATCACTTATTCGTACGTATATGAATAGATCGATTTCCCTTCAAAACACATGAACGCACTATTCTCAGAAATAGAGTTTATTATCACATATTCCAAATGTGACATAGAATCAATAGTAAATATAATTTCTTTATGGAATTTTTCTGCTATAGGTACTATCAACCTCTTGAAGCTGGAAAAGATGGACAATTGGTACAAGATGTTAAAGGTGCCCTATTTACAACTGAACATAAAGATGAGAATGAAGCCAAGTGCATCAAGCGACGTATCAAAATAGCTAAATCATATGGTCAGTTCATGCAAGGATATTATGGCAAACCTAAAGGACAGGATCCTGTAAAGTCAAGTCAAACACAGTTAGACAAAAACATGGGAGAATTCACGTCTAATACAGATACCGAACAAGTGCGTTTCAATATATATCTCTAAAATTGATTCCGATTTTTCCTAAATTGCTGAAAATAATACCTAATGGAAGATTTTGCAATTTATTTGTTTATTCATTAGTGTTACTGGTCGGTCAGAAAAGTTAATGAATTTTCGAGTCTCTAAAGGCTAAAGATCACAGTCTAATCGGTTTATACAGATAAATAAATATGCCGTAAAGTTGTATATACCTTTCAGCTTTTTGAAATCTTACTTTCCAACTGTCTAGCAATGGATAGAGCCGGATGTGTCTAAGCTATTTAGCTTTCATTGTGTGAATATATAACCTGTGTAAGTGTAGCTGGATAAGTAACACGCAAAAACTCCCATCACCAATATATATATATATATATATATATATATATATATATATATCGGCATTCATTACGGCTATCGTATTTGAAAAAATCGAACAAGATTTACGGACTACAGTATGATTTATGTTCGGTTCCTTTTAATGTCTGTTTGACATTCATCCATAATTCTCTTCATGAGTGAAGAAAATTCCTACTAACAACTGGAATACTATGTTCCAGACATTAAATGATCTTTGAAAGTACACATATTTCTATATTAAGGTTCATTCCTATAAAATTATAAAACTAGATAGAATACTAGTTGTAATATAATTACAATAAATATCAAGTTTTGTTTCTTTTTATACGACAGATCAATCTTGAAGCTTGTGAACCATTGCCATCATCATCACTAACATCAACGAGTCACAGTATCAAAGATCCTTCAATCAATGAAAATGATACTAATCAACCTCCTAAACTCCAGATTACGCTAAACAATAATGACAATAAAAATGAAATTAGTTCAGATGACGACGATGATAATAATAATTCTAATTTCTATCATTATTTTATTGCTGGTAAATATGACCCAGTTAGACAACAAGTACTTACATGGGATACAGAATTAGCTAAAATACTTAACCTTAAAACACACAAAAATAGATAACAAAAAAATTCCTTTCTTTTTCTCTCTCTCACACACAAAATATCTCCAAACAAGCATCAAAACAATCAGATTGTATCGCATTTTTTCATTCCTTATCTGTTTTTTTTTCTTTCCTGCAATTCTATGATATCGGTACTTGTTTTGTTCCACTTTTCTTTTGTATGTCATCTATTAAACAATTCAGTAAACTTTCACACCGGTGTGTTTATCACCTTTTTTTGTGAAGTGAATTAATCTCATAATCACCATCAAACATTCAATTTTGTGTGTATTTTTATCTTACATGATCGTGTATACCAACCTCCCCCACTCCATTTTATAACCACAAGTAACTTCTACTTACTCATATAATCCGATGATGTTTGATATGGCGTATGATTTAAGCGATATTATTTTTTTTATTACCATGATCATTGTTAAATATGAATTTGTTTTGTGAATGCCTTCTACAACTTGATATATATATATCAAGTAATTGTCCTATGATTTCAGCATATTTTATCATGTGCAAAAACAAACTGTTTGGATTTACGAAAGTGTTTTGTTTTCATTTGAAATGATACATATACACAGAGGGCAAGAAGTGATCAAAATGATAGTACATAACTAGTACGACAATAATATGAGTTGCAAGGAGAATACTTCTTTTTTACAAATAGTTATTTTTTTCTACAAAGCGGATAGAAATATACGTATTGAAGATCCTGTTTTGTTAACCGGGTCTTTGTTCCATTTTTGTTTTCGGTGGTTTTAAACCGCCTATACCTTTTGATGTTTTGGACTTTTTCGCCTTGAAATCTCGCCAACTTGCAACACGATTAACACGACTTTCCTTTGAAAATAAGAAAAGATTTGTTTGAAGAGAGAAAACGAAATAAACCGTAAGATATTTCCTCTTAGTTGACGTGCAAAAACATAGAAGCAAACAAATGGTAGATATAGTTAACCTATTGCAATGTCATGGCTTTTGATAGTGAAAACTTGAACCTAGATTCAACATTAAATGTTTATTATTTTTCAATCATCTTACTGACAGTTAAAACAAATATGGATTTATGCATTCAGATTAACAAGGTTTTCATCCAACCCATTAAAATTATTAGCAAGGTGAAATTTAATGAATTGAAATGAAATGATGTAATTTATGGACTCAGTAGGGATTTATGTACTCCATTTTGAGACTGTGTGAGGGCTCGTGGTGAAATCCAGCTCCCCTAATCGGTGAAACACGGTTTGTAGCTCTGATCTTTTGGTTAAATGTTGAGTGCTTGGGATGTCAACGGGCATGACTCAGAAAAGAAGCAAGTGATGATTATGTTATTGGTTTGATTGGGTCTCATAAACCATACAACTCATCTTGTAGCTAAATGAAATAAATCTTGTATGATTTCTTACTTTATTGCTCATTACCTCTATTAGCATTTTATTACATGATTTGCCAATTTTTATTTTTCCTCGCACTTGCATTTTTGTTTTACGTAGGGTATATATGGAAGCTTTACAGTACCAAGCATTTTTTTGTTATTATTTATTCAGATATAAATGCCCTGGTATGCCCGAGAGTGGGGTGGGCCCGCCCTCCCTCTTAAAATGCTCTCACATGGCCACGCGTATACAGCCTCTGCCAGGGAAGTCCTACTCACTGCTTTCTCATGGCCGGGGTGTTTTTAATGAAAATGAGAGGACGAAAAGCGAATGTCCGGCGCTTTAACCGGATTCCAAACTAATGGTGCACATGGGCTCCAGTATCCTGCAGGAACAAATGGCGTATGAACTAATCATTGGTCACCGGCTACCATGGGACTGCATCTCCTTACGATGCTCCACTGTCTTGTGGGTTAGACCTTTAGGTCAAAGGCTCGAGGTGTGGCCCTCTAAGAAAACCACCTGCTTCGGTCTGGGCACCCGGGCAGTATCACAGCCCTTACACAAATTGAATGATTTATGTGGCGCATACGTATTTGGTGCCTCCTTGTACCAATGTTTATGTGTTTAAATAAATAAATTCATGTGTTCGACCAAAAATATCTTTGAAGCAATGATTAGACGTAGATAAAACATAATGATGCTAGATATGTAGTACTGGTTAAAATAATGTAAATGGGCCGGTGACTTTTGTCAAGGGTTTTAAAGACAGACGGACAAACATCATCAAAATAGACCCGAGCATAACTTACGTTGACGAATTAAAAATAATTTAGTTGCAATGATAAATAGAAAGATTAAACATTGAAATGGTTGAAAAGGCAGTAGAACGGTATGTATGAAGGGATACTTAAATTCAACCTCGAAAGAAAAATAAAGAGTGAATGGGTCTCAAACCAATGATTATGGTTGTCACGTGGACCCCGACCGGGCAGTCTGGATTTACTAGTATAACTCAGATCAACAGTCAACGACTTCACGGACAGGTACTAATTTTCGGTCTGACTCCCCGTAATTTTCTCCCAACTTAAAGCATTTCCCATCGAGGTAGGCGGTGATTAGGCATACGTAGTACATGTCCTAACCGCTTCAGTCAGTCAGTCAACAACGTAGAACTTTGTATGTACGTACATCAGCTCGAGTTGCCTTACCACATTAGCACACAGATACAATTGTCCATTCAAATCCCATAGTGGTAGAAGTAGTAGGAGTATAAGCAATAATCCGAGAGATTAGGGTTTGAAGAGGTTATTTAAGGAGTATAATCCAGTGAAATGAATTTGGAAAGAGAAAAAAGGACATGAAGAATTCAGGTTAGAATTTGGAAGAACACAAAGAGTGGATGCACCTGCCCCATTGCTAATGATTTTGAGCCATGTTATTCAAGGTCTCTAACCGTCAGTTGCTATCGTCTCGCGGATCCCAACCAGGTAGTCTACACCTACCAACATGGCTCAGTCCACTTGTCAGTGACTTCATGAATTTGTGCCATGTTTTGGTCTGGCCGCCCCTAGCTTTCTTCCAGCCTACTCCTAACCACTTCAGAGGATGAAGACTCACTGCACTGTCAAAATGCCACCTTTGTAAAATATCCTATGCCTAACTTAAACTGGTCTGAGCCATAAAGTGATATGACAATTTTCTGGTTGGAATCTGAGAGATAACCGTAATGTGATGTAGCTCGAAATTAATCCCACTGATGTACACGTATTCATTCTTCACTCCTAAAAAATCTTGAACAGTGTATTGGTTTGTAATTTCCATCTTGTTTGAGCAGGAGCCTTTTCTTCTATCTGGCTTTCTATCATCGTTAGTATCATTATTTTACGTCATTCACCTTGTTCTGTCATATTTTTGTTATGCTGATTTGAAACGAGGGGAATTGGACTGAAATACCTTTAAATTATCCAGTAATTTCTTTCTTTTTGCCTGTCTATCATTAGGACAAAACCACTTCTTGAAATTGGGAATGTATTCGACTTAATTAAAGTAATACTTTAACAAAATTTTAATTAAAAAGTGGTATTTCTAAATTTACTAACGGTCCTGATAAAGACCAAAGCAGTTAGTTGATATATGCAGTCATTTTTTCCATCACCAACCAATTCTATGCGAAACTAAACAGAACTATCAGATTTGATGAACCCCTGTCCTCATTTGTTAATGTCATTACGACGATAATTTTAAAGATACGATGAAAAGTCGGCGTTTTTGAGGAGCGTTGTAGGAACCATCATGGAAATACATACAAAAAAGACGAATATACACTAACTTCATAATTCTTTTTCCACTCTTTGTCATACGCCATGAGTTTTCTTCCTTCCTCCTCCTCTTCAGCTTTGCGTTTTCTAATGGAAAATATGAGAATCAACGAAAGGAGTTACAGATGAGTGGACATAAATATTATGTGTGCATGATGAATAGATAATACCTTTAGTAAACAAGAATAACGGATTTTCCACAGATGTCTATTGATGATACCAAGTCAAAATCGTACTATCCCTCAACATCACACGATTTGGAGGATGTGGGCGATGAACTCCTAACCCGGGTTGGATAACGACATGCTTATTATTATTATTATTACTATACTTACTATACAAAGAATACATCACAACGTAAGTCTTTACTGATTGAAGAGTGGTGTGTTATGAATGTCTAATAGGTTCTAAACTACCAACGCGATGAAAGATCAGATAGTAATTTTTCACTGTCATTGATGTTAGGATTATTTTAACTTGTTTGCTATTTACTATGGTTACATATCGTTGCCCTGAAGTATGGTAACGAGAACTGATTGGCATTATTGTGATGTTCTACATCGATCATGACAAACTGGACAGGCAGACCAAACATACGTACCATATCACAAACACCACAGTCGACAAAGGCTTACAAACCCATCAACCATCTTCAGAATAATCTAGCCTACATAGATAGGCTCGACCACTGATTATAATATGAGGGATATCCCAAAGATATCTGTAGTTAAATACTCGAATTCGAGTTACGGGACGAATCCTAAGTACTTTTGCTTAGGATATTCCAAAAACTCCATTTTGCCAAAATCCTTACCGAACAGAACTATTTTCCTGTGCGCTTGATGGATGTCTGGGTATATAAATCGTCGAAAAACAAAAATACCTAAGTTTTCCCCCTACAGATTTAGAAACGAAAATTTAACTGATGTATCTCAAGGCTAGTGGATAGGCAATGAAAAATCAGTTAGGTGGTTTTAGAAAGTAGAAAAAACATAGATGAGTCAAACCTAAAGAGCGTCACCCGTTCCCCAGATAGCGCACGCAAAATTTGTTTAGATACGTGAAGTCACAGAAAATTTACACAGTGTGGTATCAGACCAATAAATAGCAGTGTTAGTTCTGAGAAATGCTTTCGAAGAAGTTACACAAGATGACGACCCATGATGTTTCGTGCTCGGAAATTTGGGGAAATAAATGCACACGATTAAGATAAATTTGATGAGAGTAAGTCAAGACTCTAGAGGGACTCCTAAATGTCATCCAGAAGCCTCTGGTATACTAGATCGTTGAATTTTTCTGAAGCTTAATAGGGATATATCACTTAAGTCATATGAGATAGCAGAGTAGAACCATCGATTACAGCTTAGACATAGGAGCAATAATGTTTTTGCACAAGTTTAGTTTTTTTTTAAAAAAAAAATCCGACAAAGACAAACCTTTCTGAACACTGTTTTTGCTCTTCTTCCACCCTTAATCTCTCAAGATCAGCGAACAGTTTGCATGTTTGCACATATATGGCATGACGCCGCTGTAACGGTTAGAAATAACAGACAAGCTACCTTTTCAGGGTCATCTTCTTCAATCGTAATAGATCCGCTTGTCTTTTTAACACGTTTCCGTTTCTCAATCATCTAGAAATGATAGACAGTAGTATGGTTGCTAATACCATTTGTTCAACAAGATCTTTCGCTTCCTCCACTACTTCTTTGCATTTGCGGGAAGTTTCGGGGTCATCCAGAGTCTTGTAAGCCTTGTTTACAGCTACTCAATTATTCCACTTAATAAAACAAGCAATACCTTCGAAGGCTTTCTGAGATCTTTCAATATCATCTGGGTTTTTATCCGGATGTACAAGCAGAGATAGCTAAATTGGAATATATAAAATTTGGGAATCAAACCTGTCTGTATTTCTTTTTTATATCAGCCATTGCTGCATCAGGATCCACTTGTAAAACCTAGGTTGCTTGAACAATGTTACACCAAGCATACATCATATGGATTCAAATTAAAATAAGTTGATCCAGGCCGATTAAGTCTATCTATTTGTTGCTTCGGGGTTAATACTGAATCTCGTTTCTCAATAGCCTTGACTTCTTCATAAAATGTTGAAAACAACTCATTAGGTCCAGAATTCGCAGACATTAGACTTGAGTAGCACTACAGATGTATTTCCGCGTCTCTAATATTCAATATTTTTGTGGCAAATTTTCACAGGTGAAATGCTTCAGTCGCGCTCGCTTCTTGATGTCAGAGCACGGTTCCAGGTCTTCGATATCGTCCAATGTGAGTAGTCTAGCCAATCTGTTATACTAGTTTTACTAATTTTCTCAGTTACTTGAAAGAAGATTTGTATCCACTCTAAATGAATGTTCTATTCAAGGGATTACTAAAACCAGAAGCTATCACTTTATAGAACACTCGAGTGGTTGGCTATTCTATAGACGATTTCAGGAATGGAACAGAGTTGAGTGGACGAAAAAAAGTAAATAGATAAATAGATTTAACAATCGGCTAAACACTTAAGAAATCAAATATTTGGGCAAACAACGGGTGAGAGAATGTGGTAAGGAGCGAGGTGATATAAGGAGCTGATTAATGATAATACGTAATGATAATGGATAAAGTCCACGACTGGCGTGAAAATGCTAATAATTACAAGGAATCTTGACGCGCTTTTCGAACGGGAAGTTTAGTCCTAACGTGATTTGCATTTATCAAACTTTTGCTGTGTTCTTACGCAACAAAAGTACCATTTCAGTTCTAAAGAATCTATCCTGAGCTATACGTAGATTACTTTTTTTGAGTTTCACCATATTTAATAGTTACCTGTGGTTTTGCCTCAGCTTACTATTCGGTTTTTTTTCACGTATAGACTAGTTTCAGTTTATATCACTCGTTTTATCCATTTTTGTCCGTTTTCAGTGTGCTTTTTAGTACTTTTTTAAAGGTCTTAGGCTTTTGCAAGCATCTATAACATAGTTTGCTTCAACACAGTCATGAAAAACTCATGCAAACGTCCGGGATGCCGTTTCGCTGTTACAACTGGCATGCAGTGCGACAACTGCAAAGGTTGGTTCCACGAAGCATGCACAGATCTGACAGCAACTGCTTACAACAGACTCAGCAAGTCAGAGCAAAAGTGGGTGTGTGTCACGTGCAGCACGGACGCTGTAGTCTTGCTGAGTAACATCATTGTCCTACTGACAGGTCTTCGGAACAAGTTGTCAGTTAACTTGGATAACGACAGTAAAAAAACCGTAGACAAACAAGAGCGTGCGACGGATACAAAAATAGGGATGTCGACAGGTATACCATCGATGGAGCATCCATCAACACTAATGATGACGTGTCGAGGCTCAGCACCATCATTACGTCGACGGTACTAGACTCCCTAAGCAAACTCGGGTCTCCCAGCTCAGGGTCCCTGAACACAACAGTGGTTCCCAAAAACCCTGTAGGTGATTCGACCCACGTTAAGAGAGCCCAAAAGAACCAGGCATCACCGCCTAAGCCGAGCAACCCAAGTGTTGCTGCACGGAAAATAACTGGTGATTTGGTCGCACAGTCTACCCCCAAGACTGTTCGTCCGGTCAATAAAGAGCCCAAGATTCAAAAACGCGCACTGACCTCCAAACAACAAGTTATTAAACCTGAACCCATCGTGAAACCTGGTAAATTAACAACAGTTCGTGACGATTCTCTCATTATCATGAACCTCGTTGACAATCCTGACCTTCCTCTCAGTCTGCAGGACAAAAACGACAGGATGCTCTGGGGTGAATTGAACAAGAAGCTCGAACTTCCTAGAATAGAGCCTTTGACGGTCACCCGGCTCACTCGAGGAAAGGATTCTAAGCATCTAAATCACCCGAGGCTTCTCCGAGTAACACTTAAGAATGCTACCGACGTAGAGGACGTCTTGCTAGCAAGTCACTTGCTGAAATCAGATGGTAACGAAGAATATTGCCCGACATACCGTACTCTGAGCGCAATATCATACGAAACATCCCTAAAGAATCTCGCGAGAAGTTTTTCCGCGGAAGAAACATAATTGTCAAGGTATACCGGAAAATGCAGACCCTACTCAATCAAATTCTGACATCAGGGAATGGAAATTCATCAAACAGTCCTTGAGGCTCAAACACATACTGACTCAGCATGTGACGAGACTAGCCAAGAAGGACGGTGATCCTAGACCCCGTCTAATGAAGATAACCTTCCCATCTTCCCACATGGCGGCTGCAGTTCTGGAAGCATTTCGTGCTAATAGACGTCGATTGCCACCTGGAATCCACATGCACCCGGATAGGCCATACGAAGCTAGGACCAAGAACAAAGGCAAGTTGGAGCTGACCATTCCACTTGTGGACTGTCTAAACGATAAAAAAACGTGTAAAGGACAGGGCCTACCACCTCGGCAAACCTCATATAGGTGGGCTACCTGTCCATTCACATAAGGTTCATACAGAAAAACAGGACGAAGCTCACGCGTTCCAAATTGAAAGCATAAACTGCTTATATATGAACGCCGCGAGTCTACCAAACAAACTGGATGAACTACGTGAACTTAGCAACGCTAATAAGGCCCATCTGATAGGAATATCTGAAACCTGGATATCTTCTCAGTTCTCGGACCAAGAGTTAGCATTACCTGGGATGACTTTGTTCCGCAACGACAGAAAAACAGGAATTGGGGGCGGAGTAGCCATATACATAAGCTCTTGCTTGGAGGTGCACCAAGTTCACAACCTCGAGTTTAACAATCTTGAGGAATCCATATGGTGCTCTGTAAGATTGTCTAGTACTTCGAGGTGTCTAGTCGGAGTCATTTACAGGAAGCCAACTGCCGACATCGAGTACGATAGTCGTATGCTGGAAGGACTATCCCGCTCTATCCGTCTCGGTTTCACACACATCCTGATTCTAGGGGACTTTAATCTCCCTAGAGTCAACTTCGCGGAACACACGTACACTGGAGGCGACAACTCAATTGAAGCTCGGTTCTACAACCTCATCGATAACTTGGGCTTATATGAAAATGTGAGGTCGGCAACTCGTTGGAGAAACAGTCAGACACCATCGCGCTTAGACTGTGTATTCACTAACGAAGAATTCCTAGTCGACAACCTCTCAATCCTGGCTCCTCTGGGAAAGAGCGATCATGCCGTCATAGCCTTCAGTTTTGTCATCAAAACTAAGCTAAGGTATCCCAACAATAATTTGCGTTGGAATTTTAAACGGCTGAATGTGCCAGCTCTACATGACTATCTACAACAGGTGGTTTGGGATGTTCACCCTCAACTCGATGTGGATGGTCATTGGGACTTCTTACTGCACACGCTCTTATGTGCTACAACCATTCAGTTCCTCAAACGGTTCCCAAAAGCTGCAAGCCACCTACAGTAATCAAGAACCGTACCCTTCGCCTCCTAAGCCGCAAACGGCACTGTTGGGCGGAATACAAACGAACTAATAACGATGGAGCGTATAGGCAATATAAACATATCAGGAACATATGCACGAAGGCTATAAGAGAAGACAGGCTTCAGTACCAAACAAAGCTTATGGACAAATTCGCCTCTAACCCTAGAAGCCTATTCCGTTATGCAGCCTCTCTTCGTCAAGCCAAAACAGGAGTTTCTCAACTGGTAGGTCTTAACGGCCCGACCAACAACGATGGCGACGCCGCTAACCTTCTGGCGGCACATTACTCTCAAACATTTCAACCGGCTGACATCAACTTTACTGACGACAGTTTCATCTGCAATTCCACAGGACTTTCCGAAGTGGACCTAAGCGCTGACTTGGTGTTCCGGAAATTGCAGCACTTAAGATTAGACACTTCTCCTGGCCCGGATATGGTTCATCCTGCCATACTGAGGGAGGCAGCCTCAATCCTGGCAACGCCGCTTAGCGTGATGTTTTCACACTCGCTTAGCCGAGGCAAATTACCGGAAAATTGGAAGTTGGCTCACATCACACCAATTTTCAAAGGTGGTCGACGCAATGAACCTTCAAGTTATCGGCCGGTGGCTCTTCTGTCATTACCTTCAAAACTCATGGAGTCCCTGATATGCGACGGTTTAAATGACTATCTACTGTCCTTAAATTTCTTCTCACCCCAACAGCATGGTTTCAGGAAGGGTTACTCTTGTATAACCAACCTGCTGACTGCGGTGGACAGATGGACAAGCATCCTCGATCGCAAGGGAAAGGTTGATATCATTTACCTTGATTTCTCAAAAGCTTTTGATAAGGTTAACCACTTGTGTCTTATCAACAAGCTCAAACGACTAGGTATCAAACCACCTCTAATCGATTGGCTTACTTCATACCTAAAAAATCGACACTTTAAGGTTAGGGTTAATTTCACTTTATCTCAGGCTATGGAATGTCCTAGTGGGGTCCCCCAGGGCTCAGTACTAGGGCCTCTTCTCTTCTTGATTCGGACAGTTTCCCAAAGTCCTGGATGTCGCTTGAAAAAGGCATACAGTTAGTCACTCTCGCAACGAATGAGGACAAAGCAAATAATTATGAGCAGGCGCTCAGGTATTATGAACATGAAATTGAATATTTTATCCATGCCATTAAGTATGAGGCTCCAAGTGATCGAGCTAAAGAATCTATTCAGCTCAGTTGTGCGCGGTACCTTGACAGGGCTGAGCAAATAAAGAAGTACATGGCCTCAAAGTCCGTGAAAAAAGCGAAGCAAACTCTGGTGGCACAAGGGAAAAGAAAAGAGATGATTCTGACGGCGAAAACTAACGTTTTCAACTTCAGTTGCAAGGAGCGATAGTGACTGAAAAATCTAATATCAGCTGGGATGATGTCATTGGTCTACAGTCAGCAAAGGAAGCTCTGAAGGAGGCGGTGATTCTGCCTATAAAGTTTCTACACCTGTTCACTGGAAAGCGTACTCCTTGGAGAGGGATTCTTCTTTACGGCCCACCTGGAACTGGTATATCATATTTGGCCAAAGCTGTTGCAACCGAAGCAAACAATTCAACGCTTTTATCCGCTTCAAGCTCAGATTTGGTTAGTAAGTGGCTTGGTAAATCTGAGAAATTGGTGAAACCACTTTTTTCAATGGCTAGAGAACAAAAACCAAGTATAATCTTCATCGGTGAAGTTGATTCATTATGCGGGTCACGTAATGATAACGAGTCCGAGTCTACAAGACGGATAAAA